AACTAGTGTAATAATTTCCATTCTTTAATGCTTGGAGCGTGTAAGAATATACATTCTTTCACGCTCTGACCGTGTAATAATTTCCATTCTTACACGGTCTGGCGTTAAAGAATAAAATTTCTGTACCTACAGTGTAAGAATAAGCATTCTTAAACGCTAGGAAGGGAACAATATTAAAATTGTTCCTCCTGAACCGTGTAATAATGGGAATTCTTACACGATAGCTTTACTACTATGGAACCGAACAGATATGATATAATATTTCTTATTAAATTTGTTCCCACTGTTACCACTTTTTTCAGTTTCTTCTGATAATAATTTATTCTCAAAATTATAAAACATCCATGAAAACATATATTACTATAATTATTCGTTTATTTGTTTATGCATTATACAATCCGAAGTTCGTACTGCCACAGAATTTCTTCATCAAGGACTTATCATCCTTTGTTTTCATTAATTCATTCATTCATTCATTCATTCATTCATTCATTCATTCATTCATTCATTCATTCATTCAGAGCTGAAAACTTTAGAATGAGATATCCTTAATCCCAATTACTTAATCTGAGTATCCAATGAACACACTTTTGATTTTCCTTAAACCGTTCTTTCTTGGATATAGTAGAGAAAAATCAAAAACCGGTTTTTAAAATTTAGAGTCCCTCGTTTCCGTATATAATCTTAAATGGCGCGCAAAATTTCAAATTTATCGGCTCATTATATGCGACTCTAATTGGTTGAATTCTATACATTTTTCAGGATAAAAGAACAAGATTAAATTAGTCTCGATATTAAAAAAAAGAGAGGATCAAGCTTTAATCTCGATTTCCACCATTCTAAAGTTTTCAGCTCAGAAATATTAAATAATTGATTGATTTTCATATAACAAGCTCCTGGTGCTCGGTGTTGAGGTGTACTCCCTGGGGATGGTAACTAGATCAAAAATATATTATTTATCGCGGAAAAGGGACAGTTAGTTTTTTTTCAAATGACCCTCTATGCAAAGATAGTAATGTCCAATTTACAATAAAATTTTAATCTGATGAAAGAAAAGTGGAAGATAACGCTATATTTCTGTGAATTTCTCAATTGTTCCTTGTACGCGAAGAATTGCAAATAAAAAAAACAGTTTCAAGAAACAAACACATTATAATATATATAATTTATACTATATCGACAAAGCTTTTAATGGTACTGTTGTAAATCGGGCATTTCCATCTTTGCTTAAAGGGTCAGTTGAAATTACGCTTACAGCCCCCTTAAAAATATTTTTCTTAATCCAATAATTGAATCCTTATACAGAAGAAGTACTGTTATAGTGGAAATCCTTATAAAAAAAAACATGCAGGCCAAATCCAAGAATTATTTTGCTTTCATTTTTTTTATCAATATCTACCTTGATCGTATCTGAAGTCAGTGTTTGCCACATGTTCGACACTACTTCCACTGCACTTGCTGGATTAGAAATCGGCGGGGGTGGCGCAGCAGCGGTGGATTTACCAAAGTTCGGGGGTTCGGGGATTTTTACAGCAGCCTTCGCTGGCGCTTTTTTTTCAAAATCCGACCGAATTGGAATTCTATCGGAATCAAGGCGGAATTTTTTCAAAAGTTCTGCGCGACGGCGCTTTACTTCTTCCTCCAACATCTCTCTACGCACAACAAACTCGTTGGACAAAAAAAAGGGTGATCAATCAATCAATCAACAAACCAATCAACCAGTTATAAAAAACGCACCCTTTAAACCTTACGCTAATCAAGGATGAATGAGATGTTGTAACGATGTTAAATTTAACTAAAAATTGATTATTTTCAATTGTTGGTTCTCTATCAAAGTGACATGCGGCTTTTTACTCCAAAAAACCTGACAGATATTTTCATAAATTAACACTGTTATCATGGAAAAACGATGATATCTTCCTCATTAAGATTTATTTAGGGTACCGTTGTGAATCGATCATGTCCCTTTACAAAGGTGGTTTACCTTGACTTCTGTGTAGCGAAGTGTCCAGAAGTTTTTCCACTCCTCCGCGTACTTAAAAATATTTTTGTAGAACTTAATATTCGAAAAATTAATATATGTAAATATTTTATATCTCTACTTGGTTTATAGGACGATTCGCACCAGTCTTCTATTTCAATTGAACATTTGTAAAAACAAAAACTAAAAAAATTGTGGATTTTATAGAAGAAATTTCGTGGATTTTTTAAAATTTAATAAAAATCGAATTTTGTTGGAGGCTAATTTTTGAAATTGTGATCTTTTATAAACCGTCCTTGGAGTCATGTGAGGTCCCCAACAAAATTTGGGCCCGATCGGTTCAGCCGTTTTGACGTTTATTAGAGTCAAACAGACAAAAAAGAAAGATATATAAATAGATTTGTGTAAAAATCTTCATAATAATAAAATATTGAATATTTCTTACCATCTCATAAATAATAATTTCGAAAATATTCGAAAAATCTAAACAAATGAAAACTTTACCGTTCATAAATGTATGAACTATGTATTTCATATCTTTATGTGTAAAAAAAAAATCTTTAAAATAATATAACATCAAATACTTCTCAACATCTGATAAATTAACTCCAGTCGCATTTTGATAAAATTTGGAAACATTCCAGCTTTTGAAGAAAAAAAAGTATCAATGATTTTAAAAAGATGAATTGAAAGCTTTGAGAGGGGAAAATAATTGACTTCAGGGGTAGACTAAATATATGAATTTGAGGGAAGAGGGAAAGGTATTTTAAAGGATTTTAACACAGAAAAAATGATTTGGAATCGAATTAAATCAGTTTTTTTTAAAGCTTCAACAATTAATTCATTAAAAAAATATAGATAGATTGAGGGATCAATCAAACAATCAATCAATCAATGTACCAATCAATCAATCATTCAATCGAAAGATATACCTGTGGATGTTCCTCTGGTGAAGCGTCGTATTTAGCCAACCTTTCCTGCGCATATTCCATCAACTTACCCTCCATAGTCTTAACATTAAAGGGACTGTAAGTGTAATTTCGATTGAACCTAGAGGTAAAAATGGCAATGTCCGATTCACAACGTACCCCTGAAACCTTTATCTGATCAATATTGTGGAAGATATATATTTCCCTTCAGTTGGATATGCGGAGGTCACTTTAGAAGATAAACCACGGTTAAAAACTTTAAGTTTTTAAAATTACAAACATTGATATTATCTTCTTATTTGATCAAATACAGGTTTCAGGGTACTGTTGTAAATTGGACATTGCCCTCTTCGCATGGAGAGTCACTTGTCTATGAAGTCTCATGTTTAATGGATAATTCTATAAATTTGATTGACATATCTCAAGTTTAGTCTCTTAGAAAATAATAATAATGAAATTTTCGTGTTAAGTCCCAATTTGGAATCTCCGGACTGCCATCGGACGTTAAGGGAATATAAATACAATCAAATCAATATCAGCATTAATTCGAAGAGCGCAAAAGTTTTAAAAACAACATTTGTCCCACTTAATGTTGGATCATGTGACGTGCATCTGTCTATCTATCTATTAAGACTCCCCAATAACAATAGTGTTACCAGGTACCCCTCCCTGCAACCCAGTGCCCCCTTCCGGTGTGCATGGATCACAGAGTTAGCATGATAATGTTATGCCCGAGTTTCATAGAGCTCTAAATTGTGTGTTTTGGAACAGAGAAAAAAAACTCCAGAACCAGATTAATACAAAACTTTGCAAGCAAAAAGCATTTATGGTTTCTAACTGTATGAAAACTATGAAGTAGTCTTTCACGCTTTTACTGGTTTTTCAAATTTAAATGAAGGTCATATGACTGACATTGGAGGTAGCACACAAAATGAGAGTCCGGGGGGGTACTTACCTTGAAATTTGACCATTTATCCATAGCAAGTGTATATGGAGAGATGGATCTCTCTCTGGTGGCTAAAACAACACGACCATTCTCTCTAAACATTATATTTTACAACTTGTGTTAAGATTTAAAATCCAGCGAGGGGTATAATTTTTATACGGTTTTTAACGATTAGGAGAGAAAATTTGATTAATTGATTAGTTTTCTACCCTTTTATTTAAGATGCTTTTCACCTAATCGAAAAAACCTAAACATTTATTATTTTCTAAAGGGATGTTTTAAAAGAGATTCTTTAGAGTTGTTTAAAAAATTTTCTTACATTTATTAATCCATAAAAAATCATTTGTTTAATTTTCTATGCTTAGAAATAATTTGTAAATAATTCACGGGTGTAAAGGGAGTGACCGGCAAAGTAAGGTAGTTGAACAGAGAATGTAGTATTGGGGAAAAAAATTTTAGGATTCATTTCAGATATATTAAACGTTGAAGTGATGTATACTTTCTGAATTTGATCGCAAAGCAGACGTTCAAGATCATTCATTTGGGTGGATACGTTTTGAGAATCGATTAATTTTAAATTATTGAATAACGATGACAAAATATGTAACAAAATTCCTGCAGTAAACTAATTAGTTGTTTAGGAACCAGTTGAGAGAATAAAAATTAACTCTTTTTATCGAAAATAAGTAATCTTATTCAGTTAAAGAGAACCCGTTCAAGTTTAATAAATTGTTTAGGAACAGGTTGAGAAAATAATGATTAATTCTTAGAATTTAAAATAAGTAATCTTATTCAGTTACTAGTTTCTGTAATCTCTCATTGTTCACAAACATTTTCTGTAGATTTTCTGGAACTTTTATTGAAAAGACGACATTTGAAGAATTTGTAGAAATCTGAGAACAAATTCGTAAAAAATAAGAAATTCAATGTAGTGATGAAAATAAAATAATTGATTCTGACAATAATTTATTGACAAATTTCTATTAAGAAATATGTCCCTAAACAGCTAATTAGTTTACTGTAGAATTTTTGATACACTTTTTTGTCGTCGTTATTTAATATTTTTATTCAATCGATTCTCAAACGTAACCACCCAGATGGATGATTTTGAAAGTCGTCTTTGCGCTCAAACTTATATATTTTACATCATTAAAATGTTTTATATGTCTCAAATGAATCCTAAAAAAATTCCACAATACTACATTCTCAGTTCAACTACCATACATTGCCGGTCACTCCACCAACCTTCTTAGTCTTAAATTAACAAAATTAATTTAGACTTTGGAATGAGGAAGAGTTAAGAAAATATGACTATGTTGAAAAAATACCTTTCGTCTGGGTCCATTTCTATTATTCGCTCCTCTGAACTATTTCGAGATATTTGACGATCATTTGAACGTGATCTTCTTCGTTTCCTCAGTTCACTACTACGATCTTTGGATCGAGATCTCCGATCGAAAACTCGTTTCCTTTCCATTGATGGAGATAATGATCGTCTAAATTAAATGTTAACATTTATTTTCACTTCCTGCCATCTTGAATAAGTTACTTAACCCCATACCATAAGAAAATAACATATTATTTTCTTAACAAAAGTATGTTTCTTAGTCTTTCAGAAAAAATAGTATATATGTGAATTTAAAATGTGCGTAAATTACATAAAAAAAGTTCATATGTGAATGTCAACTGTGCGTAAATTACATAAAAATAGTACAAATGTGAATGTAAAATGTACGTAAATTACATAAAAAAAATAGTGTTTACCTTTCATCATCTCGATCCAAGTACGGAGACTAAAAAAAAATAAAATAATATATTTTAAACTACAGAAATTTTTTTAAATAAACAATTTCCATAAAACTTCTAATAGTTTTTCTACCTTAGATCTGGGCCTGGCTGTTCTAGAGCTCATTGGCCGAAATTTCTGATCATCCTGAATAGTTAAAAATTTGTTTATAAGATACAAAATGAAGAATTGCAATCTAAGTGTTAGAAATGCAAAAAAAAATTCGATTTGAGAAGATGCAATAAAAGTGTTAACTAGGACATGGTCACAAGAAAGAAAGAATTCAACACTATTCCAGATTAAAAACAACGATATCTTTCAAAATTTTGCTCAAATAAAAGTGAAAAGAGTACCATCATGAATCGGGCATGCAATAGATAAATAAATAAACATAGATAGCTAATGTACGCAAAATCCTCCAGAATTGTACAGTCCGTGAACTAACACCTCTAAGGGTCAAAGTGTACTTCAATGGCAAGCGGGGTGGATTGGTATTAACTGCTCTTCCCCCTCCCGAAAGCTACCGTCTCTGTAAAAGAATTACTCGATTCTAAAAATTTAGGTTTATTTTTCAAAATGAGATCCAGATTCCAGGGGTGCAAGTAAACACTTTTCTGAGGGCAGAGGCGTATTCAGATTAAAAAAATAAATGACTATTTTACGGGGTTGAATTAATTTATAATTTTGCCAGATTTGACCTCTTTTATATCCAAAAGCTTAAAAATTTTATTTCCAATAGGTATAAATTTAAGAACTTGAGTCAGTTCGTCTAATATGTGGAATTGGCAAACTTATATTAAAGATGGTCCACCATCATGATCAAGATCGAGTCAGTGAGGAGATGGGGAGGCCAATTATGTTGCGGGGGGGGGGGAACAGAAGGTTGGCCCCCTAGTAATGCCACTGATGAGATTTCTTTATTGAAAACTCAAATTTAAGGGTATAGACACACTTTTCTGAAACGTTAATATAACTTAAGTTAGAAAAATAATGGTTTATTTTGCAATGCAATAATTGATAGTTAAAAAAATTAACAACTAAACAAAATATAAATATCTCTCTACATAACTCATGTACGCCGCATGTACCTAATGACAACAGAACAGCCAATTTTCACAACCAACCCAAGTTTTCTTTAAGGTTGGAATATATTTCAAACCTCTCCTTACATTTATATGTGCCAAATTGAGAAATGTCGTCTTATGCGCAATCTATCTATCTCCAGAGCCCGTTCCTTCCATACACTACATTGATCGACAACTTGGCGTCTCCTTTATTGGTCGTCGTCAAATCTACGGAGAAATATCTATCAGATAAGAATTTCGCATGAGACATCTAGCGGCCAACATATCGTCCCCCAAAGTACATGAACTACGCGACCACTTTCTATGAAGAGAACGGGCTTAGAGGGATGACTTACAAATGGTCGACTGTCTCATTAAGAAAAATCTATATTTACCTCATTTTTAATCCTAACCTCAGATCTCTTTCTCTCTACAATCTTAGTCCGACGTTTAGACCCCCCTTGATAAAAAAAAAAACAAAATTATTTTGTTGTTAAAGTTTGAAGTTAACAAGAACTCCGAAATATGTTTATGGTAAAATTATGTATGGCCTTAGCCATAATTTTAAAACATCAAACAACATTTAAATATTACTAATTAAACAGGCAATATTAACAGAACTAATAATAATAAAAACTAACATTTACCTATGTCCGACATTTTAGGATTTAAACCTTTCTGAAACAAAATTGATAAAATAATTAAACAAATGTTATTAAATCAATTTAAACTACATAACACATGGAACCGAATTATAGGGTAGATGATCCTACCAACCAGGATTAGTTAAGAGCCCTATTAAGGGTTTCTTGAACCGGCCTACAGTCAGAAAATTATATATCCTCATTTGAAATAAAACCAAATTAGATGACACCCTTTGCCAAAGGCCATTGATTAATTGATAAACGTTTATTTCTTCATACCTAATTACTGGTGTATTAAATCTATCCAAAGGTCATAAATTTGCATTTTACCAACCAGATCCTAGGGAACTTCGTAGTCGGCGATCATATTCGTGGTACGTCCGAGGAATATATAAATGCGAGCGCTGAATATTTAAAATACCGCGCTCAGTTGTGGAAACTAATTTTTTCAAATCAATCAATCAAACAGGACAAAAAACAATTTTAAGAAGACATTCACTGTATTTACGATTTTTTTATATTTATTTTTCTTTTCTAAAAAAAATCAATACTGTTAAAATAATATTCTAGGCCGAAAAATATGCTTTTAAACATCATTTATTTTTCAAAATAAAATGTCGTCTTCAATTTACCAAACCAAATAATTTTTACCTTCTGTCATTTTTTATTTACAAGAAAAACTAAATTCCTGATTATTTTATTAATTTTAAAAGTAACAACATTCTACGACATTTACTCTGTTAGATTTGTCTACTGTTTAATTTGTATTTTCGGCTTTTTTCAAAAATAATTTTTTTTGTAGAAATCAGATTGAAGCTGAAGTTGTTGTTTATATTGCACACGTATTTGTTTGTTTTCAGAAATGACGTAATTGGTGGCCGATGGGGCTCAATGCATCCCAGCCGTCCTGTAGTGCGGCGGCCACTTCAAAACTAAATAAATACTCTAAGGTGAATATTAACTTATTTTTCCGACCATATAACAGATTATTAATCGTTGCTACGTTTCATGTATACTTTTCATCTCCTTCGTAGGTTTGTTAATGTTAGGACTTGGTTTTGTTTACTTTTTTTCTAGGTCAGGGCCATAAATTCATTATTGATGGTACGTGATTTAATTCTCTTCGTTTGTTAATGTATGTTTCTATGAAAGTGCTATTTTAGACACCCCTCAAAGGAAATTTATGATATGAATAAAAGCATCAAGGAATGAAAGAAACAACGAAAGTAGAATTGAATAAATGACCTGAATTTGAAATACCCATTACAACTGTTTTCTCATCCAATAATTTATACCAATATTTTTGCCTCCCCCCCCCCCTTTATCATTTCAAGGGGGCCAAGAAAAATAAGTATTATATTTTGGGAACTATATTTGGACCACTGTTAAAGACTTCGGGGGAGGGGGGCTAGCCTGAGTAAGGGGGGCTTAATCATGATATGATATATCCGGACATGTATAGTTGTGTATATTTTGAATATGTATTTTGATTATGAATTTTTTTGTGATTTTGTGAACTTATGTTTTAAGTATGCTTTCATAACTATTAAATGGCTATTTAATTCATTCTTGATCAGACATGGCTTTTTGGGGTACCGTTGTGAATATGACTTTAAATTCCGGGTTGCTTGAAATGACGTTTAATTTAAATTTTTGTTTTTTATTTCTTCCAATCTCGAGACCTCGATGGGATAACTAGCTCTAAATTTACTCATTTCTTAATTTCAGCCACCTTCCTCTATTTCTACCGAAGATTTATTGGTTTTAAGGTAAAACAAGATAAATTCATTAACATATTTATAAATTAACATTCTTATTTCTGAAAACATAAATATTCTTGGATTATTTCTTGCAGGGAAAAGAAGAAAAAAAGAACTGGGCTATCAACTTTCAAGAAAAAAATCGTCGGCCGTAGAAAAAATTACAGAGCTGTGGACCATGCAAAGCATTTTAAGGTTTGTTCTGTCAAAAAAAAATATATATTAAATATTTTTGAAATTAAATTTGAAAAGAAACCAAGTAGATGCACAAGAAGGGACGAATTTTAATATAAAATTAGTATTTGGGTGGTTTTAGAATCATCTATTTTATGATTAATAATTTCAGAATGATTGGTTTACTACTGATAAAGCAAAATAACTAACTAATTTAACAATTTTTTGATTAATTGATTTAACTAATGTTGATTAATTGATTTAAAAATTATTGATTAATTGATTTCAGGATTATTTTTTAGTGATTTATCATTGCTCGATTCATTAATTTAAGACTGGTTGGTTCTAAGATGATTGATTCGTCGGTTTAAGAATGATTGATTTTATGATGATTGATTCATAGATTTTAGACTAATTGATTTATGATTTATCAATTTAACGATAATTGATTGATTTAAGGTTGATATTTTGATAAATTTTATGATGATTATTGATTGATTTTAGGATGCTTTTTCTTGTAAACCAATCTCCCTCCTCTCCTCCCTCCTGGAACACTATCAGGTCCTGCTCGCCATGCGGGACCTCAAGGTATTTTTTTATTCACTCGTTCACTAGTTCATTTGTTCACTATCTCATTTGTTTATATTTTTCTAATTTGTTCTTATTTTTCATTCATTTATTTGATTATTCATCGTTCATCAGTTCAAACAAATTGGGTCAATTTTAGAATGTTTAGAGGCTGAATTTAAAGAATGCCACGGCTTAAATATGGTTGGTGATACTTAAAATCCTATTTTTTGCTTCAAGATTTAAGCCGGCGCTCAATTGAAACCAGTTTTTGGCGGATATAAGACGCAATGAATAAATTAATTCAGAATGAATGAATGAATGAATGAATGAATGAATGAATGAATAAATGAATAAATGCATAAATGAATAAATTAATAATTGAATAAATGATCAATATTCGGTTAAACAAAAGAAGGAAAAACCAAAACTTGTAAATTGATTGATTGATTGATTAACTCAAGGAGCGAAAAAGTCTAACAATGATGAGCAAATGTAATGATGAAAAGATAAATGAATGAATAATGAATAAATTATTTCAGAATGAATAAATGAATTCAGAATGAATGAATGAATGAATGAATGAATGAATGAATGAATGAATGAATGAATGAATGAATGAATAAATGAATAAATGAATGAATAAATGAATGAATAAATGAATGAATAAATGAATAAATGAATAAATGAATAAATGAATAAATAAATGAAAGAATGAATAAATGTATGAAGGAACGCATAAAAAAAGGAAAACAGGAATGAACAAATAAATTAAAAATTATTTCAATTTTAAAATTCGGTGATGGTGAAATTGTTGCAATTTATTAAATTGTTGCAATTTGTTAATTTGTTAAATTGTTTCAATTTTTTAAATTGTTGCAATTTGTTTAATTTTTGCAACTTGTTAAATTGTTGCAATTTGTTTAATTGTTGCAATTTGTTTAATTTTTGCAACTTGTTAAATTGTTGCAATTTGTTTAATTGTTGCAATTTGTTAAATTGTTGCTATTTGTTAAATTGTTGCAATTTTTTCAATTTAAAATTTTCTTAACCCTATATCCATTTTAGATCCAGGCAGATTTGGCCCGCCCCCCTGCCCCCAGCCTGCAGCTGAACCTAGAGAACCTGTTTGTCCACGCCCACTGTCCAGACTTTAAACTTATATATCTGGGAACTCAGTTCTCTGTTCATAAATCTATTCTCTTAGCCAGGTACACTGTACAATCATCCTAGTATATGAAGTTGTATATATATTAAGACGACTTTCGACTTAAATTTTTATCCCTAACAAGCAATTCAAGCAGTATGGATACTTAGAAGCATGGAAACTTAAGAGAAGCTGTCAATTAACTTGTAATTTGAAAAAAGCTTTTTAAAAATTGAAACCTAAATAGAAAAGTCGTCTTCATTGTATGAAGCGAGGAGGGAATAATTTTCCAGCAAAATATATACCCTTGAAGTCCAAAAGAATTGATTTGAATTCAATAAATTAACTAAGAAGAAATAAAAAGGAAGAAAGAGAAACAGATATAGGGATTGAAAAACATCTAACGAAAAGATTTTTCTGCCTTAACACGTCATAGTAGAATGTAAACAGCCTTTCTACCCCTCTCCTGTGTTATATATTTCAAAGTATTTTAGGAAGTGCTTACGATTCATTTAATTTTGATGCGGATCGGGATCCGTATCCTGGATTCGCACTGAAAAAAATGGATCCGTTTTTTTTTTTTTGCTTTTTTACCCTAAACTTGATGAACTATTCAGAAATGAGGAAATTTTCATAATCTCTTTTTTTCAAAAGTTCAGATTTGGGGTTTTGGAGTAAAAAAGTTTTTTTTGTGCAGTTTTTGGTTGATATTTTACCTCGTGGATCCGGATCCGTGGATCCACATATTTTTGCGGAAGCTAAAATCTTGCGGATCTAGCGGATCCGGATCTGGATTCGGATCCTAAGCACTGATGGGTTTTATTTTTAATTTTTATTTCTTAGCTACTTGTAATATCTAGGTGCCCCTACTTTAAAGACCTACTGCTAGCAGCTGGATCACTAGCTACAGATCTAACTGTTAAACTCTCCACATCAGGCGTTGATGTCTCCATGTTTTCTAGTCTACTCAGGTATTAATCAAATTAGAAAATGAAGTTTATAACCCGGCTAACTTGCATTAGTAGCCCGTCAACCCTTCTGGGAAAATGATAAATTGTTGATTGTTGAATAATATGATTTACTAGCTGAAAGGCTCGGCGTCGCCCGTGAAAAAAAATCGAATTTTTTTTCGCCTATAACATCCCCCGGGCACCCATCCACAAAAAAAATCAGCCCAATCGGTCCAGCCGTTTGGCCGGCTATAGGCAACATATATATATAAATACAAATGTCTTGTTTTATTATATAAATTAAAAAAAGTCATTCGAAATATAAATTTTCCCTATTAGATCAAAGACCATAAAATATTTTTGATTATATATATTTTATTCTTATCGACAATTGGATTTTTATTAGCTTCAATCAATCAATGTTTTAGGTTTCTGTATACGGGGGAGTACCCTTCACAGGAGATGACCCCAAACCAAATAGATCTTCTTATATCCCTGGGTCGGGAGTGTGGAGTGCCTAACCTATTAGAGGTAAAATAGATCTTATATCCCTGGAGCACTTTTATCCAAGGTACTAATGCAAAGAAAGTTAATTGCGGTCGCGCATACTCTGCTTACATATTGAAACCAGATCTCTTTGGGAGGAACTTGTAAACAAGAACAGATCCATCAGTTTTCGTTTAGTATCCGAGGAGGATAAAAGCAATTAATTTTAAAATTTTGAAAATTCACAGAATAGTTTCCTATAACCAGAATATTTCATGGATTATTTTTGTGAAAATGGATTCCATGTCAGGCTGTGACATCCGTTTTGTGTTTACTTTTCCGCCAAAAGACAGCACACTGCAGTACAAAAAATGCGTACACCTCTGAAATACCTTTCCTTGCTTTAGTGCCTTTACCAATCCTATATGTTTCTTGTTTAGGCTGATTTAGATCACTTTTAATCAATTAGTGTTTCTTGTTTAGGCTGATTTAGAACACTTTAAATCAATAAATATTTCTTGTTTAGGCTGATTTAGAACACTTTTAATTAAAAAGTGTTTCTTGTTTAGGCTAATTTAGAACACTTTTAATCAATAAGTGTTTCTTGTTTAGGCTGATTTAGAACACTTTAAATCAATAAATATTTCTTGTTTAGGCTGATTTAGAACACTTTTAATCAAAAAAAAAGTTTATTGTTTAGGCTGATTTAGAACACTTTTAATCAATGAATGTTTCTTGTTCAGGTTGATTTAGAACACTTTTAATCAATAAATGTTTCTTGTTCAGGCTGATTTAGAACACTTTAAATCAATAAATATTTCTTGTTTAGGCTGATTTGGAACACTTTAAATTAATATATATTTCTTGTTTAGGCTGATTTAGAACACTTTTAACCAATTCGTGTTTCTTGTTTAGGCTGATTTAGAAAACTTTTAATCAAATAGTGTTTCTTGTTTAGGCTGATTTAGAACACTTTAAATCAATAAATATTTCTTGTTTAGGCTGATTTAGAAGCATTTTAATTAATAAGTGTTTATTGTTTAGGCTGATTTAGAACACTTTAAATCAATAAGTGTTTCTTGTTTAGGCTGATTTAGAACACTTTAAATCAATTAGTGTTTCTTTGTTTAGGCTGATTTAGAACACCTTTACCAATCAGGAGAACATACAGACTGTATACTTGTGTTTACTGGGGATAAAACACCAAAGTAAGTTCTAAGCACTAAATATTCACTTCTTTATAAAAACCTGGTTTTTTTTGGTAAGCAACTATTTTCTTTTCTAAAATCTTCTTAATTCAGGTCTGTAAAACCATCTCTTTACAATTAAATGTCATTTACACCCAGACTATGATAAAAAAAATTTCTAACGCTTTGATTTCGTCTTTGATTTTATCTTTGATTTTATCTTTGATTTTATCTTTGATTTTATCTTTGATTTTATCTTTGATTTTAACTTTGATTTTAACTTTAATTTTGACTCTGACTTAATGCCCTTGACCTTGACCCGTACTGTATACATGAACACCTTGATCACTTTGACTTCTTGACCTTTTTGACCTTGACCTTAATGTCTAGATCTCCCGAGCTGGACCCTGATCTGGATTCTGCAGTACAGTTATCTTGTCACAAAGCTGTTCTGTGCGCCAGGTATCGTGGAATGGTCGTCTGCCTTCTTTTTTTCAAATTATGACATTTAACTAAGAATTTTATACTTTCATAAACGATATTTTTTAAAACTTCCGGGCACATTTACTTTACAAATTCCGAAGTTCTCGTCGAAATAGTCCGGCCTAGAATAGTAATACGGTTTAGTTGGCTGTAAGTAACATGCAAACGCACACATATACACACATATAAACATATTTCAATCAATCAATGGTGTAAAAACTTAAAGGGACTGTAGACGTAATTTCAAGTGAGCCTTTATTTGTAGATTGGCATATCCGATTCACACCGTTACCTTTTATACCTTTATCTGAGCAAAAGTTATGGAGCTATCTCTTGTTCCATCTTAAAATTGATTATTTTCAAACTTTGGTTCTTCATTGACTTGCGAATATGTGTAAAGGGGGAGAGAAAAAAGATATCAACACTTTATCAGAAAGTTCTAGGTTGAAATGATAGAGTTGTGAATCGGGAATGTCCCTCTATAAATGGAAGGTCATTTTATATTACGACTAGTCCCTTTGAAGCCACTCCTTTTTGGGAGACACAGACTGCCTAAGCTCTGCTTTAAAACATATTAAATATTTGATATAATCATGTATGGGCTATTGATAATCTCATATTTAGGTCACCTTTTTTTCGGAACCTAGTTTCCCGTCGCCTTCAAGCGGCGGCCGCCGAAAAACAGGATCGGGGCTCCATACTCCCACAACCTTTAAGGTATTATTTTGATAATCATTAAATATAGGATGAGTCACAACATTCAAGCATGGCTCTAATCTACATTAGTTTTAAGAATATATGCAAAAAAGTGAATATATAAGCCACCAAGTTGAAGTCTCTGAACAGTTTTGTGGGGACAGGGGATCTATTATATTATATTAAGGTGATGTTAAAAGTGTTCCCCCTTTTGGTTTTTCTTCGACCAATATTTACTCTTGAGTAAATGTTTTGAATGAATGTTGTCTGTTCAGAATTGTTCTGGACGAGTCCGTGATTCCGCAGAAGTACGCGAGAGTCCTCGTTCGAGCTCTATACGTCGATTCGATCGATTTCGATCTTGTAGACGATAGATCAGTTGAAATTGGAGACAGGTACAATATAAATAAAATATATCAATTTGTATTAAAGACAAGTAAAAATCAATCAGATAGATCAATTAAGATTAAAGACTATTAGAAAATCAATCAGATAGATCAAGTGAGATATGAAACTGGTAGATAATCAATCAGATAGATCAATTGAGATTGGAGATAAGTAAAATCAATGAGATGGATCAATTAAGATTGGAGACTGTTAGATATTCAATAAAATAAATCAATTGAGATCAAAAAACAAGTAGAAAATCAATCAGAGAGATTAATGAGACTGGAAGATGATCAATCATTATAGATCAATTGAGATTAGATACTGGTAGATAATCAATCTAATAAATCAATTAAGATTGGAGACAGGTACATAATCAATCAAATAGATCAATTGAGATTAGAGACTGATAGATAATCAATCAAATAGTTCTGTTGAGATTGGAGACAGGTAGATAATCAATCAAATAGATCAATTAAGATATGATGCGGTAGATAAAATCAAATCAAATAGATCGATTGAGATTAGAGACTGGTAGATAATCAATCAAATAGATAAATNGAAAATTTTTTTTTAACAATTTATTATTTTTAATTTTTTTTATTATTTTTTTCATCGTCTTGTCATCGTTTCTATTTTCTTGACTGTCCCTAATTCTGACAATTTTGAAGAAAAAATGAAAATTTGTTAAAACCAGCTTATTTTTTGGGACACTGTGCTCATTGTAATTTTGAGTGTATTCTGTTTTTCAAGAAAATATATTTCCATAACTTCTAGTATCCAAGTTTCGGGACGGGATGGAGTTGTATCAGATTGGTAGATTTCTTGAATTTTTAACCACTTTGTATCCAGGGTCCGGGACGGGATGGAGTTGTATCAGATTGGTAGATTTCTTGACCTCGATATCCTCGCACAAAACTCCGAGGACGCCATAGTCCACCGGCTCAACCAGAATAATATAGGAACTTAGATAACATCCACATTAAGATTGTATATTTGTTTTATATTTTTCTAGCTTTTTTAAAATTGATCTCCTGCTTATCTGTTTGTATCTTAACGTCAAAAATTCTGAACCAACCGAGCCCAAATTTATTGGAGCTTACTCACAAGACCCGAAATTGAAAAATATTGGCCGTAAAAAAATGCCGACATTTAATAATTTAAAAATGCACTATTTAAACAGAAAAATCCGCCAAAATGTGTGTCTTTTTAAGTTCAATGAAAAAATGGCTTTTTGAAAAGCAATTGTTAAAAGCAAAAATTTCTGCTATAAAAGTAGTGCAGGGCCCCCTTTAACCCAAAGTCTTATTACACCAGCTTTTAGTTCTCATCCTTTGTCAGTCACATGATTTAAATTATTGTTTTTAACTTTATTCTCGAGTATGATGTATATTGTTGTTGTTAAAGTTGAAGTATTGGACTGGAGCGGTCAACCCTATGGTTCTGCCTGGGTTCACCGGCAGGCTATGCAATATCTTCTAGAGGTCAGCACTAAACATTGATTGTTTAATTGATTTATTGACTGATTGATTGATTAGTCATTGGATTGAGTATTAAGTTGATTGATTAATTATTGATTGTTATATTGATTGCACGATTGTTTGGCCGATTGTTTGATTGTTAGATCTGCTCATGGTTTGTAAGATCTGTTGATGTATTGTTAGATATGTTGATGGATTGTTAGATCTGTTGATTGATTGTCAGATCTGTTGATTGATTGTTAGATCTGTTGATGGATTGTTAGATCTGTTAATGGAATGTTAGATCTGTTAATGGATTGTTAGATCTGTTGATGGATTGTTAGATCTGTTGATGGATTGTTAGATCTGTTGATGGATTGTTGGATTGTTAGATCTGTTGATGGATTGTTAGATCAGTTGATGGATTGTTAGATCTGTTGATGTATTGTTAGATCTGTTGATGTATTGTTAGATCTGTTGATGTATTGTTAGATCTGTTGATAGATTCTTAGATCTGTTGATGGATTGTTAGATCTGTTGATGGATTGTTAGATCTGTTGATGGATTGTTACATCTATTGATGGATTGTTAGATCTATTGATGGATTGTTAGATCTGTTGATGTATTGTTAGATCTGTTGATGGATTGTTAGATCTGTTGATGGATTGTTAGATCTGTTGATGTATTGTTAGATCTGTTGATGTGTTGTTAGATCTGTTGATGTATTGTTAGATTTGTTGATGGATTGTTAGATCAGTTGATGGATTGTTAGATCTATTAATGGATTGTTAGATCTGTTGATGGATTGTTAGATCAGTTGATGGATTGTTAGATCTGTAAATGGATTGTTAGATCTGTTAATGGATTGTTTGATATGTTGATGGATTGTNGTTAGATGTGTTGATGTATTGTTGGATCTGTTGATGTATTGTTAGATCTGTTGATGGATTGTTAGATCTGCTGATGGATTGTTAGATCTGTTGATGGGTTGTTAGATCTGTTGATGTATTGTTAGATATGTTGATGTATTGTTAGATTGATTGGTCGATTGTTAGCTTGATTGATCAATTGTCAGATTGACTTTTGGACGGTTTGGTTGATTGATCAATTGTTAAAATAATTGATTGAATGAGTAATTTATCATTGATTGATTGATTGATTGATTGATTAAGTGATTGATTGATTTCTAGGATTTTGTCCATGTGACGAGTTCTCCTGCATTAGAAAAGTTAAACAAGGATACTCTTAGATCCATTATATCTAGTGATTTTATACAGGTACTAGCTTGGGAACCCAGCCTTTACTGGAGTTCTTCCTACAAAAGCAAACCCACTCAACTTAAAAATGTTAAACCAAGCTGAGGGGTTCATGAGTTGTGATCGGACATGCAAGCAAACAGAAATTACTTTTTAAAATGTATAGAAACCTTGTATACAACAAGAAACAGAAAACTAAGGAATGATTTTAATCTTTGTTCTCTGTTTTGATGAAATTTCGCTTCTGATTTTTAACTTGGTAATTGATATATTTCTTAAATATCCCATGAACATTTTTTATAATTATGAATTTAAAATTTCTTGCTAAAAAGAAAGAAGAAGACAACAATTTTATCTGGATATCATCGAAGGATTACTGTTGAATTGGCATTAGCTAATAATTTATTTCAAAACGATAGCTTTGAACACTTTTTTATAATTTGGGGGACGTATTCCCACAGCCTCTATTTTTGAAGGTTTCTTAATATTCTACCTCAAACTCTTAATTTTGTATTTTTTTACAAATAAATTCCTACTTAAAATTACCCAACCGTTATTTCATATTATGTTTCGTCATATTGTGATTGATATGGGCTATATCGGCTTCAAATGTTAGCTCAAGTTTTTCAAGGTCCTTAAATGATTTGGCTAAAAATTCCAGCCTTAATTTAACACTGAAGTTAACTAGCTGAAAATCTTCATTGTATTAAATATTCTCTTTTAAAAACATTTTTAGCCTCTTGTGGTGAAAAAAACGAAAGAAAAAACCTTAAAAAATATATTTTTTTAAATTATGTTTCTTCTTCTAGGCTAGTGAATCTGAAATATTGGCGACCGTGATCCGGTGGGGGGAGTTAGTGGTTAGTAGGTGAGTTTTAATTGTTCAATGGAACTTAAACAATGTGAGGGGGAGCGTGGGGCCTTTAAGATAATTTAGTGCAGAGACAGAGGAATAATTTGGGAAAAGGGAAGGACAAAGTGAAAAAAAATTTTCACTAGATTTAACACACACGAATTATAACTTAGCTTAATCTAACTAGTACAGCAACAAACATCATAATTTTTAGCAAGAAGAATGTAAACAATATAAATGTCTGTAGGAAGACATATCCCTTTTTTTAATACTGTAAAAAATGTTTATCAGAATATTTCAAAATATAAAAAATATAATTTTTAATGATATTAGATGTTTGGGTTTCGAATCCTCGACCTCATAGGCTTACATCTCATTTAAACTGGAAGATTCGACGGGTTGGATGCCTATCAGCCTAGTTAGAGAGGTGTTAGGTCTTTCCAAAAGACAATTTCCTAAGTGGCAACTCCCAAAAGGTTAGGTTAGGCCTTCTGGGACGCATCAAGCTGCAATGAAGGCCGTGCGCTGCTGCTAGGATGGGCTAGGGGATTAAGCGTTGCGGCTATTACAAACTTGGGAAATTGCACATTTGGGTAGTTGCCACGTGGGAAAATAACCTTGGGAAGTTGCCGATTGGGAAAGGGTGGTAAGTACCTAACATCTTCAGAGAAAGGGCTCTTCGAAATAAATAGATAAAATAATTTGGTTTAGGCGGGGAGAAGGCGAAGGGACAAGTTTACCAACTCCTGGAGGGCGGAGAAGTGCCCGGCGGAGAGATGGCATTTGTGATAGAGAAGTGGCAGAGGTGATTCATCTGTTTTTTTATCATTGAAAGGAAAAAAATCAAGCTTTTCTATTTTGACTTTCCAGGAAATTTATGGGGAAGAGAATTCAAATATATTGATTTTTAAGAAACTTTAGGGGAATAAAATTCAAACAAAGTATAATTCCTTTCCTTTTTTTGATTTTCTACAATTTGCCAAAAATAACATGATTGATGCATCATTGCCCAATTGTTGATGCTAAAAAACGAAGTCGACAAAACCTCTCTTAACTCCATCCATCCATATATCCATATATCCATCCATCCATATATCCATATATCCACCCTCTTTATTATTTCTATCCATTTATCTTAATATTTATCTAAAAACTATATAAATCTATTAGGTTGTGTGTGACCTGGTGGGGTGTATCCGCCTGGAAAATATGCTGGGGGGCGGGGACCTTGTCAGACAAGCTGCAGAGAGGGGTCTTCTCTCCAGACCTTGGTAGGCGGGGCATTTATTCATTTTTCCATTCATCCTTCCATTAATTCATCCTATATGCTTGGGGGCGGGGACCTTGTTAGACAATCTGCTGAGAAAGGTCTTCTCTCTAGACCTTGGTATTCATACATTCATTCATTCATTCATTCATTTATTCATTCATTCATCCTTCAATTCCTCCATCCTTTCATTGAATATGCTAAGGGGGACCTAGTAAGATAAGTTGCTGAGAGGGGTCTACTCTCCGGACCTTGGTAGGCAGGGCATTCATTCATTCATTCATTCATTCATTCATATGTTCATTTATTCATCTATTCATTCATTTATTCATTCATCTATTCATTTTAGTATAAAGTTTAGCGTTTAAATGTTGCTTTTGAAGTTGCCATTTTTACATCGTAATTGTAAAACGTAAATTTTCGCGAGCTTTTTATCACAAACGTTTTCATATTTGACCCGTCCATGAAACCTTTTGTCATGTGAGTTTCCACAAAAATTTGGGCCCAATCGGTTCAGCATTTATATGAAATTATAACTATTTATATATATAGATATATATGTATCTGGTAGGTATATGGGGGGAGGTGGAGGTCTACCTGAACCCTGGGATCCTCGCTGTTATCGTCCTCCACATCAACGACCTCGGCTCTTCCTGCCCTACTATGAGGAGTGTAAGGCCTTGTACAGGTAGGGCATCCTCATCCTCATCATTGTCTTCATCTTCATCGACATAATTATCATGATAATCATGATTGTTTTTAATGTGTCATTATAATCTTTTTTATTAACATCATCATCTTTTTAAACATCATCATCATGATTGTTTTTAATGTGTCATTATAATCTTTTTTATTAACATCATCATCTTTTTAAACATCATCATCATGATTGTTGTAAATGTGTCATTATCATCTTCTTAAAGGGAGTGTTCTCGAAAATGAAAGGGGTATAATAGGCTAAGGTTGAATCAAATTCGATGGTGATCGCTACTTATCTTACTTCTATTTGTTGTGTCTGTAAGGAGAAAATAATTAAACATTACATATACTGAAGAGCGTAGCGTCCATACAAATTCAGAAGGTTACATTATTTCACTCAGATCTTAAACAATTCAATTAAATTTAAGATTTATCATTCACATATTACAACTTAAAATCAATTTGATGCATTTGTAACGAGAAACAGTATCACATGATATATTGTAAAATGATCTGTATCATCATAATGGCCGTTTAAAATGTGTTATCTTCTTGATAACCATCATCTTCATTATTGTTTTTAATGTCTCATCATCATCTTTTTAAATAACATCATCATGATGGTTTAAAATGTGTCTTCATAATCATGATTCTCTTGTCTTCATAAATAATGATTATTTTCCTAAATAACTGTTTTAATCATGAACTTTAATATGCTTAGTGAGAGAGCGGGGAGCTTGAGCAATGAATCTAGTTCCTTCAATTTCCACAGAATATCAGATATACCAGATACACTCTATATGGTAAGAAACCAGTCTCTTAACGGGCTTAGTCCACCGTGCAGAGGGACTGTAAGCGTAATTTCAAATGACATTTCATGCAAAGATGGCAATGCCTGATTCACATCGTTAGCAAATAAACCAAGGGTTTTATTTTCTATAAGAATATTTTTTTCTCCAGTCTACATATTAGGAATGTTTAACTAAAAATATATATATATCCATATCTCTATGTTTATATTTATCGATTTATTCTATTTCTAGGTTCGAGATGACCGGGCGGTTGGGCGGGCAGATCCTGACCTATCAGATCAGGACAATGTGTCTCAGATGGTGAGGCGGGTCAGGTCAGTACATTTTTCTTTTTAAAACATAAATTCTAGTTTTTTTTGTAGTCATAGTCGTCCAGCAGAAGAAATAGCTCTTTTCCTTAAAGTAATCTTAAGTAACCACTGACCAGTAGCCAGTGACCATTACACGGGCAGCCGTAGTACATATGAATTTCCGAGCCGGGTCAACCTTTCCGGCCCCAGTTTGTCCTGTACCTTGCTCTATGGACAGGACTAGCCGGTGCAACAACGTTGACGCGGTCAGACTTTATGCTTCGTATAGGTTGAATTTACTTTTACTCAAGAGGCAAAGGTGTGTGATTATGTAAAGAGGGGCAGCACAAATTTACAACGGTACCCTTTAAACCTTTATTTGATTAATAAAATAGAAGATATTTCAATTCTTTAAGTAAAAAAGTAATAATCCCAAGATTTTGCTCCAAATGTTTCTTCAGGGGAAATGTGCAAGTCCTTTTTTACAGAGAAACCCTAATTGAAAACAGTTAATTTTTAAAGAGATAAACATGGATATTTCATTTAATCTTGATCAGACAAAGCTTTTACGGGTTCCGTTGTGAATTGGTTGGAACCATCTATTATTGAATATGAGGAGTCACTCGTGTTTGGGACTACAGGCCATTTAATATGCAAATAATTCTTTTTATTATATTATTAGTTCAGGAAACTGTACAGATCTCTGTCTGTTCAAAGAGCTCTTCTCCTAAATACTGAACAATCACTTTAATGATATTATTTGTTCAGAAAACTGTACAGATCTCTGTCTGTTCAAAGAGTCTTCTCCTAAATACTGAACAATCACTTAAATGATATATTTGTTCAGGAAACTGTACAGATCTCTGTCTGTTAAAAGAGCTCTTCTCCTAAATACTGAACAATCACTTTAATGATATTATTTGTTCAGAAAACTGTACAGATCTCTGTCTGTTCAAAGAGCTCTTCTCTCCCCATTCGCAAACCGTCAACAGATATTCATTCAACTTCAACTCAGGTCTGTTTACAGTTTTATTGTTTTAATACTTTCGTCTTTTGTGAGGAGGGAGAGGGTGGGGGGTTGGGGGGGTCCAAAAATCGTATACTAGGAAATTACCAATTTGTCAGCTATTTAAACCCTTTTTAAACAAATTTCGAGAATTTTATTAAAGAAATAGAGTCTTTACCACAAACTCATATTTCACTAATCTCTATATCTTTGCAACCAAATTGTGTAAATTCTAACATTTCAAACTTAGATAATTTGTTCTAACAGAATTCATTGTTTAAAATATCTAAGGTCTATAACGACATGTTGAAAAAATAAAGGGATTTGAAAATCAGAGTTTGCAGCAAAAATTCAATTCTTTTTTTTTAACGTAAGGTAAGTTCAACATAAATCCACTGAAAACCCAACTGGTATAATGGTGAGAAATGATTTCTAAGAGAGGAGGGGGGATTACTTTATAAAGAATTCAATGTGTAATGTGTATAAACCCCTGTAAAGTGATAAACCCCTGTAAAGTGGATAAACCCCTGTAACGTGTATAAACCCATGTAAAGTGTATAAACCGCTGTAAAGTATATAAACCCCTGTAAAGTATATAAACCCCTGTAAAGTGTATAAACTCCTGTAACGTGTATAAACCCCTGTAAAGTGTATAGACCCCTGTAAAGTGTATAAACCCCTGTAAAATGTATAAACCCCTGTAAAGTGTATAAACCCCTGTAAAGTGTATAAACCCCTGTAAAGTGTATAAACCCCACGCTAATTTAACGGTTTCAGAAAACTGTGAGTGTGACGATTCCTTCATTATTTGACTAATTAAACCTAGTTTTTCGACTTTTCTATTTTTTATGTTTGTTGGTCTGCATTTGCTTTTTAAACAGCATAAAAGTAAGTTTAAAGATTATTGAAATATCACATAATGGCCCAATATATGATTAAATAGAAGAAACCGAAAGTATTTTGCCCTGGTTAGTCCGGGGCGACCCTGCCGATGTTTAATCTCTAGATCTTGATGGATCTTCTGTCATTAAATGTTGACTTATGTCAACCCATCTCAACCTCCCGCCCTTAATCCTACCCTGGGGCTGGTTTATCCCCGCCCCCAGGGCTCTGATCCCAACCCTGGGGCTAGTTCAACCCCGCCCCCCGGGCTCCATCCTGGCCCTGGGGCTAGTTCAAATCTGCCCCCGGCGGTGAAATTTGCCTGGAGGCGTTTGCAACAGCCCCCCCCTGCAGAGCCTATCAATTTAATGTTTAAACAATAGGGTTAAAGGTGTGAGAGAGGCGGGGCCCATTAATTAGGAATTATCTATTAACGGGGGGGGGGGGCGGGGCGGACTATTTTACAAAAATAATTAATTTGAACTATTTCATTTTTACTTAAGTCGTAAAACAATCTCTAAAATTTAATTTGTGAAATATATTTTCCCTGAATTGACAAGTACAGTGGGTGCCCAGCAAAGTAAGGGTTAAGGACAAACAAACGGCGAGGGTTAAATACAAGAATAGATACAAGTAGGGGATACAAGATTAGATACAAGTAGGGAATACAAGATTAGATACAAGTAGGGAATACAAGATTAGATACAAGTAGGGGATACAAGATTAGATACAAGTAGGGGATACAGGATTAGATAAAAGTAGGGGATACAAGATTAGACACAAGTAGGGAATACAAGATTAGATACCAGTAGGGGATACAAGATTAGATACAAGTAGGGAATACAAGATTAGTTACAAGTAGGGGATACAAGATTAGATACAAGTAGGGAATACAAGATTAGATACAAGTAGGAGATACAAGATTAGATACATTTAGGGAATACAAGATACAAGTAGCCCGGTGCAGAAATTTTCTTTTTTATAAAGTTTGTCATACTTTTTGCCATTTTTATCTTCCTTTAGGGGGGCTGCGTGCCTGCATTTAAAAAAAAGTATAATAGTCGCGAAAAAAAGTTTGTAATGCTGAATTTTAAATAGTTGAAACTTTGGTTTGAAATGTTTAAACCCTTAAACATATTTTTGTTCCTTTTAATTTCAAAATTATCGTTATTTTACTCTTTTTAAATGAGACGGATTCTGTCAATTCTTTCTCTCTGAGACAGGGAAGCTACAATTTAAGAAAACAAAACCTAATCTTATTTGTTAAGACTAGAGTTTATTGTTTAAAGAGTAACATTGTGAATTGGGGAGGGGGGGGGGAGGGTCACTGTGGAGATACAGTGACATGTCCCTAAAGCAAACCAAACCTAGTTCACTCCTAGCTCCATTTAAAAAGACTGTAAGCGTAATTTCAAGTGACCCTCTATGTAAAGATAGCAATGTCCGGTTCACAACGATACCCTTGAAACATCAATCTGAATAAAATGTGAAAGATACCGTCGTTTTTAAGTATTATTGTTTTGAAGTTCTCCGTTACTTCTCATAGGCAATGAATAAGTTACTTTGGTAGAGAAACCCCTAAAAAATGAACAGTTTATAGAAACAAAAGCATTGATATATAATTCATACTTGATCAGACAAAGCTTTCAAGGCCAGGGTACTGTTGTAAATCGGTCATGGCCATCTTTGCATGGAGGGTCACTTGAAATTATGCTTACAGTCCATTAAGCATATTTTTTTAATCAAGATATTTATTCAGGGTGGTCAGAGAATCCAACCTCCCGGATTCATTCAGTGCAGTTCTTCAGCGGGCCATGGATGGTGGAGCTGGTAATAATTTTCAGATTTTTTATCTACGATTTTATGAATATTATCGATCCATTACCGACCTGTTACCGATTCATTATCGATCTAATTCCGATCCGTTACCGATCCAACACCGATTCATTACCGATCCAATACCAATCCAATACCGATTCATTACTGATCCAATACCAATCCATTACCGATTTAATACCGATTTAATACTAATTCAATACTGATCCACAACTGATCCTTACCGATCCAATACCGATTCAATGCCGAACTGTTATTGATCCATTACCGATCCAATACCGATTCAATACCAGTCTATTTATACCGATCTGTTACCGGTCCTTTACCGTTCCGATATCGACCCTTTACCGAAATCGTGGGATCTAAAGTTAAACAATTAATTGCGGCATTCCATTTCTAATTACGAAAAATTGGATGCTTTTCACTTTTTTGGAAAGTTACAATTTGATTGGCTTACTTTATCAAATTTAAAGTTATTTTTATAGGAACATAAAGCTTGCCCGTTTGGGGGCGAATCCTTTTTAGGGGTTCTTAAAGAGTAATTTTCTTAAGAAAGATTCAAAATTTTAATATTTCATTCTTTATACAAAATATCAAGATCACTTAGAGCCAAGAAATATTGAAATTGCATATATCACATGCTGGGACCTTAAAAGGTAGCAAGCACTCTCTTCTTATGGCCTTTCTCTTAATTCTGTAAAATAAATTAAGAATTGTTTTTTTAAGGTGCGCCCGACACCCCTGAGGATGAGTTACCAGTGTACCGAGGGGACTGGGAGGGACGGCGGAGACACGCCTCTTTACACTACCTGCCCTCTACCGAGTCTCTGCCTCAATATCTGCCTGCTCTAGACCAACCTCTCTCTGATACAATGCCGGATATAGCGATGGCATCATCCGCCTTTGGTAGTCTTACTCTTACTAGGTAGGTGTTTATTTTTGCATTGATCCATTGATCCGTTGATCTATTGTTCCATTGATTCATTAATACATTGATCTTTTAATCCATTAATCTATTGAATCATTGTTTCGCTGTTCCATTGTTCCATTGTTTCGCTGTTACATTGTTATCACTGTTATCATTCATAAACCTTCCCTGGGATCTTGTGAAGTCCTACACAAAATTTGGGCCCGATCGGTTCATCCGTTTTGACGTTTTATGGATACAAACAGACAAGTTAAGTATAAAATACTAGCGTTGCCCGTGGAAAAAAAATTGAAAAGAAATTTTGAATTAAGCTTTTAGCCTAAGACACCCCCGGCTACCAATGAGTGTCCACAAAAAATGTCAGCCCATTCGGTCCAGCCGTTTGGCCGGCTATAAGGAACATATATATGAATGTTTTATTATATAGACTAGGCTTTTAGGGCGCTTCGCGACCATCTTCTTTTCCTACTGTGAACATTTTCTCCTTGTTTACATTGTAGAATAAAAACAAACAAAAAATTTGCGTATTTTATAAAAAATATCGTGGATTTTCAAAATCTTTAAAAACAAAATTTTGATGGAGGCCAAATTTTGACAATTTGATCACCCACGCGAGGTCCACAAAAAATTTGGGCCCGATCGGTTCAGCCGTTTTGACGTTTATTGGATACAAACAAACAGACAGACAAGCAAAGTACAAATATATTTTCTAGATCTATGCCCTCTCCTCGGAATTCTGAATCTCGTATCTCTCCCCGACCCTCCTCTCTCGCTCCAGGTACAAAATAAACTATCATATAATTACTAAATTCATTTTAAGGGACTTTTTTTAAAAATTTAATGACGATCGAATTTTGATGGAGACAAATATTTGAACTTTTGATTTTTCATAAACCTTTCCTGGGGTCCCTAGATGTCCCACAAAAAATTTGGGCCCGATTGGTTCTGCCGTTTTGACGTTTATTAGATACAAACAGACAGACAAGCCAAATTTATATATAGATGAAGTAACGTACAGTGTAGCACATTTAAGTTACAGTCGTAGTCGTATATATCAATACAATAGAGACTACTTTCGAGTTCAATTTTTTATTTCTACCAAGTTTTAAACCAGAATGGATACACATAAACATGGAAGCAAAGAGAAGCTGTCAATTAACAGCTTCTCTTTGTTTGCTTGTAAAGCTTGTTAGAAATCAAAACTTTAATAGAAAAGTCGTCTTCATTGTAGTGATATAAGCGTTGTACAATACAGGATAGTTCAGTACAGTTTAGAATAAGTCAGTGCAGTACATCACAGTATCACATTGTAATATTGAACAGTACAATTCAGTACATTTTTGAAACCGTAGGTTGGGGTAGACAATAATTTGCCAGGTTGGATGGTCGGTCAATTGGTTCGTTGGTTAGTTGGTTGGTTGGTCGTTTGGTCAATATGTTCTTTGATCAATAAGTTCGTTGGTCGGGCTCCTCAACTCGGGCACATTAATCTCCAATAATCATTAAATAGATATATTTCAAACCTGTAATGAAATACAGGTATAGGAAAAAACAAAATGACAATGTATTAATTTAGTTAAATATTTAAAATATATCTTACTAGTTTTTCGTGACAAAGTGAATGGGTTTGATGGATAGTTCAAACATTTGTAAATACTTCTGAAAATATTAACCGGGGTTTTTAAGTGGAATTAACTATTGATTGCAAAGTTATTTATGGATTTGATCTTTCATTTAGCAAAACATTTCACTGTTTGTTGTTTCTTTGTCGGAGAGTAGTGATAAATTTGAACGGAGACTTGCTTTGATTTATACATTTACACATATAATACATCTATACATTTATACACCTAAAATATATTCATTTATCCATCTATCCATGAATATCAATTTATCTATCCAACTATCTATTCATCTATCTATCCATTTATCTATCTAGGAGGTGAAGTGAATCGTCAATCCAGTGCTGGAACTCTACCCCGCTACACCGCCGACACTAACCGCTATTCCGCTAGTTCCCCGCGATACGCCGAATCTTCAAGATTCGGCGGGTCATCGTCAGGATCCAGGGACGGGTTGGAAGGCGGAGCAAGGTTTAGAGAGGGTCTGTCAGGAGCTAGATATGTGGAGGGTGGGACTGCTCAATGCTACGGTGAGGGTGGGATGGCGGCCCAGGGAGCCACAGGAAGATACAGCGAGGGAACCAAATACTCTCCAAGGGGCTCGACTGTACCCCACAGTTACCGGCACGGGCCTAATCACATGTTCTTATAAATATTTCGACCAAAAATCTCTTTGTTTTCATTATACACAATGTGCTATAATATCGTTGTACGGTTGGATATATATTTTAGTTTTAAATCTAGCAAAATACCTTCAAGAGATAGAAAATGTCTTAAAAGTCTAATGTATTGGTATTTTGAATTTTTGGGTTTATGCAAATGATTTTACGGCTCGTTGCCTTTTTAAAGGGACCGTTCACTTATTTGGGTAATTTCAGGGTAAACTGAACAGCCTATTCGCTGTTGATTGGTAATAGTCTTACTTTTCAAAGACAACTGTGGCCGGAGAAAATGCCGATTTTTCGTTCAGAATTTGAGCGGAAAGGGACGGTCCCTCTCTATAGACATTATTTGATGTTTTTTTCAGTAACAGTAGCCGAATAACATTTAAATTTATTATATTTTAATGTCATTATGTGTTCGTTATTATGTACTAAAATCTGAAAACTTTTGATATTTGAGTTAGCAAGAAATTTACGTTTTTCGTATTAAAACATGTAAAATGTGTTTACAAAGACGACGTCTCTACGACAATCAATTAATCATTACTCGTATTTTGGTTCGTAGATTTTGTATATTTTTTTCCCGTATGCAATGTGCACAACTTTCCATTTGTCATGCCGCGTCCAATTCAGCTTTTTACACAGGCAATACACAATGTTGAATGCGATAAAATAGTGTTATTTTAGAAATAGAAAGTTAAAAAACAAAAAAAAATTAAAAATAATGACATTTACAATTAACAATTAGATACTACAGTTAAGTTTTATGGTCGAAATTTTTTTTGATTCACAACATGCTGAAAAAAACATCAATTAGTGTCTATAAAAAGGGACCGTCCCTTTCCGCTCAAATTCTGAACGAAAAATCGGCTTTTTCTCCGGCCACAGTTGTCTTTGAAAAGTAAGACTATTACTAATCAAGAGCGAATAGGCTGTTTAGTTTACCCTGAAATTACCCAAATAAGTGAACGGTCCCTTTAACTGTCATCCCGGACAACCAAAAAAATGTTCGTTTTTCAAACTTCATATTTCACAGATTGACTGTACAAAACTGCCCTCCTAATATCATACTTCGTGAAATTGATGCCTCTTAATTGTTTTCTTTAGATGGAAATTTATGAACGCGGTTCAATTATTTCGAGTTCAACTCGACTTGGGCTGAACATTGAATAGGGTTTTTGGAATGACTTGGTAACCATCAGCGAAATTTGACAAGTTTTGTTCAGTAAATAATATCTCTTAACTAACCTTAACACATTCGACTCGTGTACATTTAAAACTGAGCTGAACTGACCTGTACAGTCCTAGTTTGAACTGTCCCGCCCTGTACGCCAACTACATTGGCAGATATACGGCAGGGGTCAATATAGTTGTGCTAGCGCTGTCGGCTTGTAACACTAGGTTGACATTGTCTGATTTTAGGCTGCATCTGGTTAAATTTACAGTACATAAAGCGGCAGTTTTGCGTGGTTAGAACTCGAAGTAGCTTAACTGATCTATTCATTAATTTCCATCCAAGGTTGCATAATGCATAATAGGGAAAGTTTGTACATGTTGTACATTTTAACCACCTGATCATGCAGAAGGAAATTATCAATTATATTCTTATAAGAAAAATATTATTTCATCAGATGATTTTTGGACCAATACAATATAAGAGTTTTCTAGAATTTTCAAGTCAATTACTCAAAATCAAACGTGTGTCTTCAGAATCTCAATTTTGAATATTTTTCAGCTCTTAAAGTTTACCTCAAAGACTAATCTTCTTTAAAAACTGTTATCATGTAAAAGGACTACAGTGACCCTTCATTCAAGTAGGAGACTGTCCGATTCACAATGGTACCCTTTAAACAGTAAAAAATCTGTCTTCTTTCTCTATTACGCACTGTAAAAATACGAAAAATGGTGTTGACCAAAATTAATATTTTATACCCGATATTATACTGCTTTATTAAAAGTTATTTAGTTATTTTTAAAATATTGTTATTGTAAATCATTTTTAATTTTATTGTTATATCATAGTTTTTATTTTATCCAAGGAAGTCTGTATGTATGTACTTGCTCCTTTTAGCTCGTAATTGAAAAAAAAAAAAATTTTAAGATTTGTAACTTTTCGAGGATTTTTCCGCGAAACGGAAACTTAATTTTCATTTATTTTCATCTAAGTTCCTTCAGTCTATCTTTGTTTACATAAAATGTGAAAAAAATTATATTTTCTCTGTTTTCAGATAGAAAGCACAGCAGCTATGGATTCTAATATGGACTTAAGGTGATTTCTCTTATCTAACTGTATCACTTTAGTATGCCGAGTCCATTAGCGCCTGATCCAGTCAGGGTTCAGTCATGTGTTTGTTGTCAATTCTAAACCAATAGAAATAGTATGGCGGTAATATCTATCCATCTATCTCATTATCCAATTAGAGATTAATCCTTATATCGGCATTATAACAGTAAATGGAAATATTTACTTCTACTGAAACTATAGTGATGTTAGTTCAATTTATCCTTCACTAAGAAACAAGCATGTCAGATTCACAACGGTGTCTCTATCTGAGTAACAATGAGGAAGGAGTTTTCCCAATTTACCTTTATTGCACCCGTAGCATTTTTATTTATTTATTTAAAGCAAACTGCCGGGGTTATTCCGGACCCTAGGCAAGTTACACCCCTCAGTAATTCCCCTGAACGCACAATTCACTTTTACAGAGTAGCACAATTAAAAATAATCAAATTTTAGCTATTTCTACTGTTCTTTCATTCTATTCTATCCATCCATCAACCTATCTATTTATCTATCTATCTACCTATCTATCTATCTATCTATGGTCAGGGTCATATTTATTGTTATTATTATTATTATGTTTTAGCAATCTACTATCGGTACGAATATAGTGGCAGCTGTAGTTGCGGTCATCACACTACACCTGGCTCTAGGACTTTATATCTATAAGGTAGTTTTTTTAGCGGCACTAAAAATCTGAATTCTTCATCAAGAAGGTTCAAGTAATTTTAAAACTACAATTTGTCCTGAACTTTAGCTAGGGACAAAAAATAATCTAAAAATGCTTGAACTTCCAGATACAGAGAAAATTCAAGAAGAACATATTTTTTTCAAAATTCAAATCTAAAAACTTAACAACATCGTCGTCCCATAATATTAGTGTTAACGCTAATTTTACAAAATGTTTATGTAACTGTTTTATTGCAACTTTTATTTTTAGATCAAATTTATCCATAAGGTAGTTTTTTATTTTCCCGGGATAACTAAAACATCTAAATTCTAGATTGGGGTGGGAGAAATTAATAAATAATTGTTAATGTCAAATCGAAAAAAAGGAAATAAATAAATAAATAAATAAAACCTAACGCCCCACTCCGCAAATGATATTTATTTATATCTTAAACTTTCAATTGAAATAACTATTCTTTATGTGCAGTGTGCATAAGAAAATTATCAATATCAATAAAAAATTCGAAATTTTTACTTTCAAAAGAAATTATCAATATCTATTCTAGGCCTATTTTGACGATGAGAAGAAGGTGGGGAAAACCGACTAAACATGTGATATTTGCTTGAATCCATCAACTTAAAGGGACTGCTCATGATTATTATAAAGGGAGTGTCAGATTCTAATTAGATTAGGGGTTGATTGCTAATATTTTATTTCTGATGATTCTTAGCAAAAATCCAGTGGTTTATATTTCCCTAAAAAAATCATATTTTTCTCCCTTTCGAAAATCATAACTTTTCCCTAGAAATATGTGATAAATAATTTTTCATTTTTTCTGAAATCATCAAAAATCTCTTTCCCCCCCCTTTGGAAAAAATCGCCAAAAGGGATTGGTTATTTTTTAGCCAAGTTGTACAATATTTTTCTCAAAAATCAAACAAAACTTGATGTGAAAACTGACGAATACATTCATGAACAGTCGTTTTATAGATTCATGAGACGAACTTTTGGTGTTTTTTAGCATTTTTGTATCAATCTTTCTGATTAGTCTCAACGCATTAAAAATGTGATGTAATTTTTAAGTTTTATTATTTCAATTATGTATTTAAATAATACATAAAAAAAGTTGATGGGGACAAAGGATTTACAAATTTTAGAAATATTGAATTGTGAATCAATTATTAATCAATTGATTAATTAATTATTTATTAATTATTATTTTCAGATGAGTAGATTTATTTTTAATTATCTCCAAAGTCAGCCCCAAGGTGACATTTAAAAAAAAAAAAGATCAATTTTGCAAGAAAATCTTCCTTTGAAAGGGACTGTAAACGAAATTACAAGTGACTCTTTATTTACAGATTCACAAAGATCCCCTGTTAACCTTTCTGTGAATATAGGCAACTGAGATTCCAGTTGAGAATTGACTGCCAGAAAACTTGAGCAAATGATTTCACATGAATCTTGAAGAAAATTTTTTATTTCTCTGTCGTCCTTGATTAGACAAAAGTTAAATGGTTACCATTGTGAACCTGACTAATGAAAATACGGCCTCAGTCCTTTTTAAATCATATTTATCTACTTCTTAAATAAAATCTTTTAAATTATAATTCATGTTAATTTTGTTAATTTTCTGAATAAAAATAAATTTTACGAATTTTTTTATTTATTTGAAGGATATGATAGTGTAACGTTGAAGTTTTCGGACGGAAAACTGTTGATTGAATCTATTTTGCTCAGGATACATTCAAATATTTACAGGTTAGGGGTAAATCAAACAAAAGGAAAGCAACAAATCCGCAATTTTAAAAAAACGCAAAGCCTGATGGACCTTTTTTAAAATTGTTCCTGTGTAGTTTGTATAATGTTCACATATCACCATAAAAAAAAAATTTCTGCTTAAATGGACATAAACCAATTTTTGTAATATTGTTTAAGACTGAATAAAAAAAATTTGCTTCGGTTTTTGTAAGTAAGGTCTTCAAGGGATTTTATTGTCAGATTAACTGTAAGCGTGATTCAATTGTAAAGTGCCATTGACAATTTACAACAGTACCTTTTTAATTTTTATCACTGTTTGAGGTATCTTTATTTTTCTGTCTAAAACTACGGCAAACCTACTTTTCAGGCAATGCAACGGGATGTGTATCCTACTGCCTGATTTCAAGACCAAAATCGGTTTGAAATTTCGGCAACTATTGTACTCAGGCAGTACAGTGTTAAGGTAGGATTTAATATCAACTCATTCTAATATGATTTATTCAAACATAACTGACAAATAATTCTCCCAAATCCCCCACATCACTTCTGTCACAGCTAAAGAAGGGCTAATTAAAGAAACTGTATACGTGTTATTGTAGTAGCATGGCCGATTCGCAACGATGCCCTTTAAACCTCTGTAATACAATGAGTAAGATTTCGTCATTTCCCATCTTTCTATCTATCTATCTATCTATCCATCCATCTATGTTCATTTCCTCTAAAGGATAAACGCTTATGTTACTTTTATAATTACGGATATCTCATTCATCATTCATTCATTGATTCATTCATCCTTTCATTCATTCATTCATTCATTCATTCATTCATTCATTCATTCATCCTTCATTCAGGGAAGAAGATTATCTTTCTCTGCGAAGTTTGCTAGGAATCTAAAAAATCTTTAATGTAGAAAATAAATTGACAATTTATGTATTTTAGTTTTTTTAACTTATTAGTTCTGTTCAAATCAATGAAATAATGGTGATTATGGTGAAGAAAATCAGAAAAAAGATTTTTGGATTTAGAAGTTTTATCTGTTCGCTCAACGAGCGGCATTAGTGTGGAAAAAAGAACCCTAAATACAAAAAGATCTAGGAAAGTAGGAGTCTTGAAATTTAATTATATATTTGTTATGAAAATAATTAATAGTTTTTCTACTAGAGTAACATAGTCGATTTTAGACAGATCCGCGAATATATCGCAATAGAATTTTGGCTTCCAAAAAAATGTTCGAGAATCAAAATTAATCAGCCCAAAAAAATTTTAAAATGATGAACCATTTTATTTTTTAATCTGAACTGAACTCCACTATTTTAAGAGTAGATTTGATAGAGATCTTGGGAAAAGTATTCCTCAATCAGATAAGAATCTCTTTACGCAAAAGCAGTATGTCACAATTAAACCTTCAAATGTAGAGCAGGTCACTCTTGAACCTTCAGATGTGCAGCAGGTCACACATTCTTCCAGTGTGCAGAAATTTACAATTGAACCTTCCGTGGAGGAGTATGTCACACATGAACATTCTGAAGAGGATCATGTCATACTAGATCCTTCAGATGTGCTGCAGGTCACACTTGATTCTTCCAATGTGCAGAAGGTAACAATTGAACCTTCCGTGGAGGAGTATGTCACAAACGAACATTCTGAAGAACAGCATGTCATACTAGATCCTTCAGATGTAAAGCAGGTCACAATAGATCCTGAGGATCAAAATATAGTTCAGCTAGTTGATATGGTTGATCCTCCTAAGAACACTATGGAAGGACTTGATTTTGAAGAAATTAATGACATGGAACAAATCATTGAGGACTTAGCGGAGGACAGACTTGAACATCTGGAGAACAATGATCAGTCATGTGCAGAGTTATTTCAGGATCAAACCATGCTCATCCAATCGATCAGTCAGTCAATTGAGCTTCAATCAAATAGCGAGTTGCTAAATCAATCAAATTTAACCTCAATTGATCAGTATAGCCAACCATTGATCATTCAATCAAATAAATTGATAAAATCAACGCCCCCCAAGCAGACCAAGAAAGCCCCCGTTTTCAGATGTAATTTTGATTCCTGCAATCTCACCTTTAAGGTAATAAATCATTTGATAAAAAAATTTCAAATAAATTTTTTTTTTTAAGATTAATTAATTTTTAGAGCCTCCTTCAGCTAGGGGCACATACTACTTCAAGCCATGGTGTTCAACCCTTGCCTTGTCCGGAGAATAAAACTGGATGTTCATTCAGGTAACTAGAAGGAGAAGATGGAGGGAGGCAGGGGGGGCAAGAGAGATACCCCCCTCCCCCACCCTTTCATGACTAAATCATCATAATTCTGTTATAATCAGACTTGTTTATTCCAGAGCCTCAACAAAACAGAAAATAGACTTCCATTTGCGGGGCGTACACAGGTAATTTTTTACATTATAAAGCAAATTTAATTATATTTTTAAATCAAAACTTAAAAGGGACTATCCACTAAATTTAGAGAGAAACTCCATTTATAGCGCGGCATATTGCATTCACAACGAAACCCCTTGTTCACTTGTGGTTTCTCAATATGACGAAAAGCAAAGAAGTCTTCCTCATCCTTACTCAGAGCCCGCGATTAAAAAAATTCGGGAAAATATGGCTCGAGTCTAAACTGCCGTTGGGCCTTATTTACGGCTTGAGCTTTCGGATTCAAACACAGAGTTGAGTTCAAAAAACTGAGCTGAAAACTTTAGAATGGTGGATATCAGGATTAATGCTTAATCCACTCTTTTTCTTAATCTTGAGATTAAATCATTTTTAATCTCCAGATTAATTATCCGATCAGGATTAAGGATATCTCATTCAAAAGTTTTCAGCTCTGGTTTAATATTCTATTTGGCGGATTTCCATGGAAGGAATTGGCGCATTCCGGGTTTTTATGAGAACAAGACTCAACCTTGAGCCTTATTCTCTACTAAACCCAACCAAGGTCGGTTTTATTTTCATTGCGCCTAACTCCTTAAGTCGAGCCGAAGATCTTGCAGCTGTCAATCACGTGACACAAGCTGTCGTCAGAGTTGGGTCGAAGGTTGGGTCTTAAAGTCGGGTTTAAGGAATTATGGCTCGAGCCAAAGTTTTTAAATCGCGGGATCAGATTAAGGTTTAAAGGGTGTCACTCAAGTGACGTCGACGACAAACCCTTTAACTTGTTTTCTTTAAAAATTAACAAAAAACTTGTGAATGAAAAAGTATTGAAAATAAATTTAGTTCAGGTTTTTATAAAATGTCCTATCCTAACTATTTGATGTTAATTTCGCGGTCAATCATTAATCTTCATTTTAAACAGACCTATGGATTAATGTTATCTCTCTTTCCCTCTTCGATTTCCCGTGGTGGTCATACCCTGCAGCGAATTTTCCTATTCAAATTAGCATTGCACGAATAACTTTAATTTAGGAATCAAGCTTTTTTTCCTCAAAGTCAAAATTGCCCAAATTGAATATCGAGATTGACGATACGATCCACACAAAATTTTCGATTTCTCCACCAGCTAATGATTAAATTGTTTCAGAGATAAATATTCCGAAAATATTTTCTGTACTTTATGTAAAAAACTGTTCTCCAGCCGACAGCACTTAACATCACACATTAAGAGAGTTCATAGGAATTATACAATTTCCATTCTATGGGTAAAATCTTCTGAAAAAATATCGTAAATTTCTCCTTTGAAATACTGTCACTGAAATGTCTAATTTAATAATTTAATGAACATCCTGTTTTTAATAGTGAAATTAAATTTATTAAATGTGCACCACTGCCCATCTACAGGGTGTCCCAATAAACATTGGAATTGAGTTTCATTGACGACTTCGATATAATATTTATGAAGAATTAGCAGGTATAATAAACATCTTTGTAAAGCATTTTAGGGAATGAATTTTGTTTTTATTCTGGATTTTTCAATTTTACCAATTAAAATGTAAATTACATAAAAAGTAATTACTTTAAACATATTTTTAAAAACTAAAACAACGAACATGTTAACTTCGTAAAAAAAATGGAGGGGGCTCACATTTTTGTCTAATTTTTGCGTATCCTCTCAATATCAAGATCTACACTCAATAAAAACTAAAATATGCTTTAACTTGGTTTCTGGGTTCACAAGTTAGGCAAAACTTTTTTTTTAAAATTATAAAATGATAAGGGGTTAAAGGGTGACTAGAGTGAGCGGTTGATGCACATACGGTTATTTAACAATCTTTAAATTTGTAGGGTTGTCTTAAAATACGTTTTAGTATAAAACGCATCTGCTGACAAAAAAAAGTATAAAAGAGAAACGGTGAAAATTTTATGTCAAATTGGGATCGAAAGTCATACCTTGCTGGCACAAGAAGGGAATTGTTAAATTAGCGTGTGCGATCAACTCATAAATAAAAAAAACTCTGAACTCTGGCAGACGAAACATTTTTTGATTTAAAGCTTTTCTAGCTATAGGCATCACTATATAAAATTAAAAAACAATTACAAAGACTGTCTCGTATTCGCCATGTTTATTGGGACACCCTTTTTAAAATGTCGTTTTTAAAGCATTGGAATGGAATATTGATAATCAGAAAGGTTGAGGGGCGAGTTTGCCCTTTTTGTGGAATTTTAAAGAAAAATTTGTCAGATCACTTCATTCGAGAGCATAGGTTAGAACCTTTTCATTCGAGAGCATAGGTTTAACATTTGTGCTGGCTACTCATAATCCTGATTGCTTGATCTCGATTTCCGCTATGGAAACTTTTTATTTGTAAATCAATAAGAACAATATTTTTCCAAATCTTCATTTTAGTAATTCCTCCCCTGTTCTCTTTAACCTCTGACTGGGTACTGCCACCATGCGGGATATCAAATAAAGATTAAACTAATCTGCAGATTAACAAAAGATTAAAATAAAGCATTGATCCACAAGAGTTCCCAACTCAGAGATGGGAGCTTGGAATGATTCCGATCTGGAGATTAATAACAAGAGGAGAACAAACCTTATTTAATCTGGAGATTAATAACAAGAGGAGAACAAGCATTATTTAATCTCGAGATTAAGAAAAAGAGGAGAACATTAATCCCGATATCCACCATTCAAAAGTTCCCAGCTGTGATAATATATATATATGAGTACCCTATTTTTTCATGTTGTATTGTAATGAAATGTCAATATTTTTTTTTAAACTTTAGTGATTCCGCTTCGTAATTAATTAATTTTTAAGCTTTGTTAAAACCTATTTGCTTTATTCATTAAACGCAAATAAGATTTTTAAAATGTCGTCTTCCTGGCACTTGATTATTAACTGTTTGCTCTGTTGCCAGTTTCTCTGTGGTCATTTGCCTTATTTTGAACCCAATTTACCATTGCTCTACATCTCATGTAGACCAAAATTTGGGGAATTCGTCTTGGGGTGGGCTTACATTTTTTATGTCTAGGGGCTCAGCACCCTTTGGGACCCAAAAACCCAGAAAATCATAATAGCCTCCCCTGAATACGCCCAAAACTTAAGACCTTTTAAGGCGCCGCAGTCTACACAAGGAAAAATAATACTATGGCAGCTAGAGGGATATTCAGAAAATTGTCACAGAGCAAATGGTTCCAGAGAATATTGTTAAACATGAGCAGATGGCTACAGCGTTGTTTGTTCTAGGTATAATATTGAAGGGACCATCAACAGTGGATTTCAGACGAGGGCCAAGGACAACGCGAAGCACACGGAATTTGCTTGATCCAACTTTTGGTTTAGAAGACAATATTTAACAAAACTTATAACACATTAAAATATAGTTAATAAATATATGTGACAAAAGATTTTTTTCTTCAAGTTTTTTTTATTGATAACAAAAATATAACACAAAGTATTCAGATCCTAGATGAAACAGTAGATTTTAGTATAAATATATACTGTATATCAATTTTATAAAATATGCAAGACCCGTTACAAACCAACCGTTGTGGCAAGTTAGATGCAGGGTTATTCACAAAGGATGAGATTTTAATAACGACCTAAAACTTTGTAAATAAGACGATTTGAAACTTGAATTTTAAGTTATAAACTTAATTTTAGCTTTTGCAAGGTAGGTTAAATGATTTGGTAAAGATAGAAGCAAGTTTGCAGCTACTTAAGGTACCAGGAGTTCAAGATAAAATACGTGATTAATTCTGTACAGTCGTCTTTATTGTCTCATTCGTTGCGGGTTACTCTGAAGTTCATGATTTGAAAGTGAATTATAAACCTAGTTTGACTCTCGAAGATTAGAAATTGGGAAGTGTAGTTCAAGTGACTGGTCCAATTCACAATGGTACCCTTGATTATTCTCAACTGTGGGTTCTCTTGATTTTTGCATTAGTTATAGAAACAATCGAGGATGTTGTCCACATTAAAAACGCCAATATTTTCCTCTTTACATGGAGGTAAAATCTAATTGGACACAGCTTATGACTGATATTTAAAAAAATTCAATGAATTTGAACTGTATACTGGCGGTTCAAATTTGAATCACCGATTCCAATCCTTCCTTAGTCTTTAACTTTGAATCGGTGGTTCAAATTTGTACCGACAAGCAGGTAGTTCAGCGAGGTAGCTCAAAAAAACCTTAAATTCACTCCCAAGGCTAATTTTTAGATAATAATTACACAATCTTTCGCGATTTTACGGATAAAAATTCAAATTATCATAAATGATCTATGCTGGTGAGGTTTGATTGTTTAAAAAGACATAAAAAACTAATTTAAAATACCAAAATATTTCCCTATTCGTCTGTTTGTCTGATCTTCAATGCATTAAAAACACCATTTTCGTTTACTATTTTTTAAATCAGTTGTGGCTAAAATATTTGGAAAAATATTCACGTGGAATATGAAAAATCTATGAAAATATTAACAATTGACAAGTTTATTGGCCCATCGCTGCATAAGGTTACTAAAAGTTACTCCTTCCGTTTACCCGTGCTACAATTCTAGCTTTTAAAGTTCTTTAATTAATTTGCTACAAAACTGGGTTTTTTAGGTGTGATATTTTTTACTAGAAATGAAGCTTTAATATATCTTATATAATCAGAAAGAATCCAAATTTCAGAGTGAGGTAAATATGAATGTTTTAGGTTAAAATGTCCATATGTTGTTACTCTGAAACTTTTCCCATAGGTTGCAAGCTCTAAAGCAAAAATTTTATGGATTTTTGCCAATTTATCTTAAAAACCAAAGCTAAGAACAAGTGCTTTTTAGTGCTAAAATTTTCATGTAAAGGGCTACAAAAAAACATAAGTGTTTTTGATTTTATTATAAAACAAATAGTTTTACCAATAAAATTTGAAAATCAATTTATAAAGAGATTTGTGTACACTGCACATTAAATTCATATATATATATATTCAGTTTAACAGTCATATTCCTATTCCTCAGTTTTAACAGTCATATTCCTAGTCCTCAGTTTTAACAGTTACTAGGGCACAAAGTCCTACCAACATTGTCACATGACCCTCTATACTTCAAATGGAGAAAGACCGATAAATCAAACAGCTTAACATAAACTATTAGACAGACATAAAAAATATATGGTACAAGAAGGGACGGGGGGCAAAGGGAGACAGTGCCCCCTCTATCTGATTCAAATTAAAGAAGTCTTTTACTGTTTTTGAATTTTCAATGATCAACAGTTTTCTGAGTGTAAACGATACATTGAATTTGAAAATAAGAAAATATTGACAAATGTGTTTCAAAAAAGATAAATGGATATAGAGCTAGAGATGTGTTTTCAAAGTTAAAGTTATACTTTTTAAAGATAATAGATAGATAGATATATAGTAAGATTGAAAGATATAGCTAGATAGATAGATAGATAGTAAGATTGAAAGATATAGCTAGATAGATATATAGTAAGATTGAAAAATATAGCTAGATAGATAGATAGATAGATAGTAAGATTGAAAAATATAGCTAGATAGATAGATAGATAGAAAGTAAGATCGAAAAATATAGCTAGATAGATAGAGAGATAGATGGTGATAAATGAAAGTATTAATATTTAGATAGATAGATAGATAGATAGAAAGATAGATAGATGGTGATAAACGAAAGTATTAATATTTAGATAGATAGATAATTAAGTTTGATAGTTAGGTATGTGCATACATAATTAGAACAAAAATAGATAAATAGTTAGATAGATAGATAGATATGAAGATAAAGAGAAATATAGATAGATAGACATAATAAACATAAAGATAGATAGATAGATAAATAGATATATAGAAAGATAGGTAAATAGACAAAAAACAGATAGATCGATAGATAGATGGACGGATAGATAGATAGATAGATAGATTTGTAGATAAAAAGATATATAGATAGGTAGATAGAAAGATAGATAGATATATAGATAAGTGAATAGACAGATAGATACATACATAGATAGATTAATAGATAGATAGGTCGATAGATAGATAGATAGATAGATATCCAATACACAGTACCCAGTTACCAATACACAGTACCCAGTACCTAATACACAATTCACAGTATACAGTAAACAGTACACAGTATCCAATACACAGTACCCAGTACACAGTACTTGGTGCACTTAGATACATAGTACACCGTACACTTTGATGTCAGTACTTAGTACACCTAGTTACACATTACACAGTACCCAGTACCTGGTACATTTAGATACACAGTACATAGTACCCAGTACCTGGTACACTTAGATACACAGTTCACAGTACCCACTACCCAGTAGGTATACTTAGATACACAGGTTACTTAGATGTACAGTACACAGTACACAGTACCTGGTACACTTAATTAGATACACAGTACACAGTAACCAGTACACTTAAATACACAGTGCCCAGTACATTTAGATACAGAGTACTCAGTACACTTAGATACACAGTTCCCAGATCAATCACAATACCTGGGAGGCAGTACACAGTACACCTAGATACATAGAACTAGTACACAGTAACTTAGATACACAGTACCTAGTGCAGAGTACACTGAAATACACAGTACTTAGTACACAGTAAACTTAGATACACAGTACACAATACTCTTAGATACAAGGTACCCAGTACACCTAATTACAAAATACACAGTACAACTAGATACACAATACACAGTACAACTAGATACACAATACAACTAGTTACACAGTGCCAAGTACCCAGTACCTGTACACCTAGAATAATATTTACTTTAATTCTTACTCATATTTTAGCAGATACAAAAAATAGTTTAAACTTTTCTTTTAATCCTATACAAAAATAACTGTTATAAAAGAGAATCTTTTCACAAATGAACAGTAAGCGTAATTTCAAGTTACCCTTCTTGCAAAGTTAACAGATGTCCGTTTCACAGTGGTAATTTTAAATAATCAAATGTGTTACAGATATAGCTAATCGCTTTTACTTAGTTGTAAAGTGTTTAATTCTGATAAGTTCTATACGTTTTCCTTCAGTTATAGTAATCCGCAAGTCACTTTTAGAAATTACAATTAAAAAATATCAGATTTCAAAATTACAAACATTGAGCACTGCCATGTTTGCATGGAGGATCACTTGAAATTTAGCGTACACTTCCTTTAAACCTCTCTGGAACTCCTTCTTTGCCCAATGTTTTATCAATTCACAGTGGTACCCTTGCCTGCGAGATATATATGGAGATATCTTTGCTCGTTTTTTAGATAGACTTGGAAATATATTTAGACAGGATCCATTTTTCTTTTCATTTAAGAAAAATGCCGATATCTTCCCCATTGCTATTCACAGTTGAAAATTCAGATTTTCTTAAATTTAAAATTAAGTTAACTCTACCTTTAATAGTACAAAAATTGTTAAATTATAAGAAAAAATTGTTATTATTATCACACACTGATTTTACTGCTCGGTCCTTGTGCGACTTCAGATCATAATTTGACCTTTTAAGAATATATTTTTTCTCTATTTTCCTTTTTGTTTGATGATGCGTTTTAAATGAAAAGTATTACAACTATGTTAATTTTGATATTGTTGAATTATATAGAACATAAAATTCAAATTAAAGAAGCCGAACAACCTGGTTAGTCCAGGATGATATATGCCAATAAATTCAATAATAATCATATTTTTTTCAGTTAAACAGAATTTTCTTTAAGAATGGAGGAAAATATTAAAAAAGTAAAAAGAACAAAAAGCTCCAAGAACCTGGAAAAAGAAGGTATAATTGAAAAGAATAAAATAAAAATCTTAAAAATATTTAATTTTTTTTTTCAGAGGCTGTCCCAGCACATATCCGAAACATAATGAAAGGGGTGGACAAAAGGTACAACGTTTAATTTCAAGTAACCTTTCATTTATAATGTAGAATGTGCATTTCACAACGGTAACCTTAATCGGTAACAACGGTAACGGTGACGACAATCTTTATCTGGATGGATATTATTTACATATATCCTTGTTTCTCTGTCTCAAAACTGATTGTTTTTAATAATGGTTTCTTTATAAATATGCGCATTTGTGCCACAATACAAAGAAGGGAATTGTTGAAATATTGCTTCTTATAAAAAAAAACATATCCTCCTCCTTTTTGTTACTCAAATAAAGAATTAAAAGGTACTATTGTGAATCAGATATACCACTTAATATACCACTTAATTTGTTAACCATGTTAACCCTATCTACCGCGCCCCCCATTAATTTGGGTGGGGGGGGGGCGGTATCTATTTTGGGTTTGTTTTGATGCAAAAAGCAAAAGAATTTAAAAATGTTCTGTTATATTTTTTCTCTTTTTAAAGTGTTCACACACTATTGAACCATGACTAACTCCATACAGGACGGGATCAAGTTCTTGACTAACTCTATACAGGACCGGATCAAGTGCTTGACTAACTCCACACAGGACCGGATCAAGTCTTGACTAACTCCATTCAGGACCGGATCAAGTTCTTGACTAATTCCATACAGGACCGGATTAAGTTCTTGACTAACTCCATAAAGGACCAGATCAAGTTCTTGACTAACTCCATACAGGACCGGATCAAGTTCTAAGCGTTCTAAGTTTTAGAAGCGTGGAGCGGGGTGAGGAGGACGATGATTTTGAAAAGATATACTGTAAGGCCCATAAAACTGTGGAATAGGAAGACGACTGCTACAATTCAAATTATGCGTTAAAATAGTCAAATAAACAGAAACACTACAGTGCACACGTTCTGGTAAAACTTTTACATCAAAATCAGGCAGAACGATTCCGAAAATGTCGTCTTCCTTTTTCTTTTTATGGGTCTATACTGTATATACCCCAGCGAGGTTATAGTTTATAGAGTGATGATGTACGCTAATCCTCTACTAATTGTACAGGAAGCCACGTAATCCACTATCAAACGTCAATCTGTATATGACAGTACTTGGGGGATTTATCAAAATATTTTATTTTTATTGAAACATGGAACAGATTCACAATGGTGCTTTGTTCGATTAGAAATGTATGATATCCATAATTTTCTCCTTAAAAATAGATTGACAATCTCTGATTATCTCCATATTAGGTCAAAGAACAGAAAGAAGGAGCATGAAGAGAAGAAACAACAATCAATGGACTCTATCGCACTCATTAGGAATAATTTAACTCAAAATCAAAGAATTAAAAAAGTCAAAGAAAATGGGTTCAACTTGAAAAACTAGGAATCCAGGTTACGCTACATTAAATTCACTAGAAGGGGTTGATTCATTTGGTGTATTGTCTAGTTTTGTACTGGACCGGAGTTTTCAGTGACACAGATAGGGAGCGGGGGTAAAAAGAAACTCAAATCAGGATGGTTGTAAAAATCAGGCGGGTTGCAAAATGTCAGTAAAACTTAATTTTCTTAAGTAGGATATATGATAGATAGTATGGGTTTGAAACATCTGTAAATCCTGAGTTTGAGCGCAAATTCGACGGTCAAAACTCCTACTTTGGGGGTGGATAAGTATTCAGAATCGTTTTTTTAAAATTATTGAATAACGACGACGAAAAATAAAGTAAAAATTATACAGTAAACTAATTAGATGGGTAGGAACATATTTCTCAAAAGAAATTTGTCAATCAATCAATGCTTGAATCAATTATTTGGTTTTATCATTATATTAAAATTCTTATTTTCTTTGATTTTATTTGCAGATTTCTTCAAATTCTTCAAATGTCGTCTTTCAATAATAATTCAAGAAAATCTGCTGGACACAAAAACTGAATTGACACTTGTGACGTCAGAATACAGCTGTTCTGAGAGTGTACAAATTCTACGTTGCCATCTATTGTATTAGAATCTATTTGTTAAGAGACTGTTATATTCGTAATTTCGAGTGGCATGCCCGATTCAAAACGATACCCTTGATCAATGGATGAATAAGATATCCATGTTTTATCTCTATACAATTTATTTAATCATAATTTGGAGTTATTTAAAAGTGACTTGCACATTTTCCCCCAGCAAAAACAAAGAAAGAAAATTATCAGATAAAGGTTTAAAGGGTACCATGGTGAAAAGGTCCTCTAAAAATATAGGTTCACCAGAAATTACAATGATTGTCCCTTTAAAGATATCTCATTCTAAAGTTTCCAGCTCATCTTTGATTATATTTTTATGAGGAATACTGGAAAACATTTGTGCTGGCTACTCATAATCCTGATTGCTTGATCTCGATTTCCGCTATGGAAACTTTTTATTTGTAAATCAATAAGAACAATATATTTCCAAATCTTCAATTTAGTAATTCCTCCCCTGTTCTCTTTAACCTCTGACTGGGTACGGTTACCATGCGGGATATCAAATAAAGATTAAACTAATCTGCAGATTAACAAAAGATTTAAATAAAGCATTGGTACACAAGAGTTCCCAACTCAGAGCTCGGAACTTGGAATAATTAAGATCGGTTAGTTAATCTGGAGATTAATAACAAGAGAAGAACAAGCATTATTTAATCTGGAGATTAAGAAAAAGAGGAGAACATTAATCCCGATATCCACCATTCAAAAGTTCCCAGCTGTGATAACATATATATGCGTACCATATTTTTTCAAGGTGTATTGTAATGAAATATAAATATTTTTTTTTAACTTTAGTGATTCCGCTGATGTCGAGGTGAGGAAGGATAAAGAACAGGATCACAGGATGATCAGTAATGCCAGGGATATATTCAAACATTTAGGTATCTATCTATCTATCTATCTATATATCTATCTATCTTTCTATCTATCTATATATTTATCTATCTCTGTATTTAGAGTCCCAAGAAGATAATCAACCAGAAAGAAAACAAATCGAAAAAGTAAGATATTTGATTTTCATGATTTTTTTCCGAGTTCTAAGTTTAAGGCTAATTTTTGTCTGCTCTACTCCCCTCAATAAACAGCTAAAGAGACCATAACTTAGTCTTAACTTTAGGTCATCAACAATTTAAAGAAAAAGAGGGACACAATGCCCGATTCACAACGATACCTCTTAGGCTTTTTTATGATGTCCATTGTTTTTGAAGCAAGAAATGCGCAATTGTCACTTTTGTAACCACAAATGAAAAGAATCAGTTTTTAAATAGAAAAAATGGAATATCCTACTTGATCATGCAGTCAAAGCTTTTAAGGATCTTTTGGAGGGTCACTTTAAACAACGAGAATAGTCCCTTAAATTAACATATTTTCTACAATTTATAATTAAGGAAAGTTAAAAACTGAAATTATTTGAAAACAGCGAAGAATTTTCAGTTTTCAATTATCTGGGTCATTTAGGGGGGAAATATAGGCCAAGGATGCAAATAATTAGAAAAGTAAGAGGAAGGAAAAAATGTGAAAAAGAATGAAGGGCAAGAAATTTATGAAAAAGGAGAGTGGGGGGGTGGAGAGGGGCAAAAAATTCTAAGCATAACACACTTTCATGCATGTACATCTGTAAACGTAAAAATAATCTCTTTTCGAAATCTCGATAATTTCTTCAGAAAAAACGAAAACTCTGCCTGCGATTTAAAAGCTTCGGCTCGCGTCGTAATTCCTTATACCCAAGTTTAAGGCTCAATCTAAGCCCAAGCTCTAACGACAGCTTATGTCACTTGATTGACAACCGAGCTTGGCTTGTTTTAGTTGAGTATCAATGTTGAGTCTTATTTTAATCAGTTCCCGGAATCCGCCAATTTTATTCATGAAAATCTGCCAAATACGATATTAAATTAAACCGGTATAATTTAACAAACTTCGTGGACAATTAAGTTGCAACTTAAAGATTCCTAAGCTTGAGTCTTACATTAGTCTCATGACAGCTTAGACCTGAGTCTTATATCTTCAAATGTTTGAATCGCGGGCCCTGGTTAGGAAATAGAATTTATTCTTCTCAAATTGTTCAAGAAGATCCGGTGGCAAAAAATAATAGATTATTTAAATTTTCCTAAAAATTAGTCTTAAGCAATTTGTAGGATCTTATACTACGTCAAATTGAAGTAAATTTCATGTTAGGTTGAAATCTACAAGTTTCATGTGACATGTATTATCTCTTATCACGTGACATATATTATCTCTAATCATTCTATATATTTATCTATCTCTGTATTTAGAGTCCCAAGAAGATAATCAACCAGAAAGAAAACAAATCGAAAAAGTAAGATATTTGATTTTCATGAATTTTTTCAGAGTTCTAAGTTTAAAGCTAAATTTTGTCTTCTCTACTCCCCCATTTTAACAACCATAAACATGCCCCTTTAAAGAGCCCGTAGCTTGTAACCACAAATGAAAAGAATCAGTTTTCAAAAAGAAAAAATGGAAATTAAATTAATGCAATTTATAATTAAAGAAAGGTAAAAACTGAAATAATTTGAAAACGCGAAGAATTTTCAGTTTTCAATTATCTGGGTCATTTAGGGGGGAAATATAGGCCAAGGATGCAAATAATTAGAAAAGTAAGAGGACTGAAAAAATGTGAAAAAGAATGAGGGGCAAGAAATTTATGAAAAAGGAGAGTGGGAGAGGGGCAAAAAGATCTAAGCATAACACACTTTCATGTACATCTGTAAACGTAAAAAATAATCTCTTTTCGAATTCTCGATAATTTCTTCAGAAAAAACGTGACCTGAATTATCTATAATCTTGTGACCTGTATTATCTCTAATCACGTGAACTGTATTATCTCTAATCACGTGACCTGTATTAGCTCTAATCACGTGACCTGTATTATTTCTAATCACGTGACCTGTATTATCTCTAGGTAAGACGGGTTGAGGTTAAGCCTGACTTTCTCCTGGACGGGCAGAACAAGGCAGAAGAACTCAGGTAAATACTCAAGTCACTTCCGGCCAATAAAACATTCATTTCCGGTTGATGATAGAAAAAATAGAAGAAAAAAAATGAATGACTGTCTGAGAAAAACTAAACACTAAAAGGGTGTCCTAAAAGAATTCTAAGAGTGAAAAACCAGTGGCCGAATTTAATGAATTTGAGCGGCGGTTTAAATTTAAGCCGCTGCTTAAATATGGTTGGTTCCACTTAAAGTTGTATCAAATGTTTCAAGATTTAAACCGGCGCTTAATTTAAACCGGGTTTGGGCAGATTTGAACCGCGGCTCAAATTCTTTAAATTCCATCTCTGATCAAATAATTTCTAATCACATGATCGGGGAAGCAATAACTTTTTAAGTTGCCAAACAATTATTCTTAAAAAATGGTTAAAACAATCGAAGGAATACTATAACTCCTGTGTGCATTTCTAACTATATAAGAAAGAGCAAAGCATTTGTTACAGTAATTTTTAATTTTAGTGATCAAAAGTGGGAATTAAACCTAGAAAAACGACAATATCTTCCATAAGTTGATCAGATAAAGGTTTCAAGGGCACCGTTGTGGATTAGGCATTGACATGAATGTATGTATATTGTAGGGTCATTCGAGATTACGCTTACAGACTCTTTAAAAACACTTTAAAAATGTTCAGGAAGGAACGGTTGAAAGCGATGACAGCTATGAAAATGTTTAGCGAGGAACGGTTGAAAGAGATGAAAGCTATGAAAATGTTTAGGAAGGAACGTTTGAAAGAGATGACAGCTATGAAAATGTTTAGGAAGGAACGGTTGAAAGAGATGACAGCTATGAAAATGTTTAGGAAGGAACGGTTGAAAGAGATGACAGCTATGAAAATGTTTAGGAAGGAACGGTTGAAAGAGATGACAGCTATGAAAATGTTTAGGA